GAATAGACCACGCTAATTTGAATTCACCAGAAATGATGTTATTCAATTTGCTCATAACTCTTCTGATTTAATGCCTTCGCAAACTTCCACAATCTTGCAGTATTTTCATAATAACAGTTTTCGTTTGGCCCTACGAACTAAAGAACCCTTCCCTTCCTTCCCAGTTAATGGTTTGAAATATCATTTCGAGCATTATCATTATGATATCTTTACCTCATGATGTGTTTTCAGTATGTGAAACAGACATTTTTGTAATCAGACTATAATGAGACAGCATGCAATGATGGATAGTGTAAAGAATAGGTTTTTGGCCTAATCGTTTTGTGGTCTTATCGCGTCTCTTTAAATTCCCAGCAGCCAGTAGTACACAAAGGAAATGGATGAAATAATAAATGATTGAATGAATAAAAGGCATAATACGGCAGACACCACCTACTGACCTAAAGCAGCTCATGGAGAATCCTGCATCTATGATGGAGTTGTACGGTTTGCAACTGATAGTTGAACTGAAGGAACAATAGAATCGAGTAGAAGTGAAACTACTAAAAAACGTGGATTCTGTATTGTCTAGTGTCATCAATTCAGCGATCTTAAAGAGAATGGATGTGGCACATCGAACAAAATAACTCCACAAAATCCCAACAGATATTGACGAGAAGAGAAGTGCAATTCCTTCACACCACAAGTGTGATACGGTGGATCAGTTGAGGCTGGTCACAAAATACAGCTGATTCCAACCAGTGCTGAAGCGTTCAAGACTGTTCAATGCTTGACGGGTGTTGACGCATTCTAATGCTTGTCGAATGAAAGCGAGTCTTCAGACCACTTGTTGACCTGTCTCTCTTTGCCAGTGTGCAGTACTCAATATTGGGTGGAGAAACATGCAAAATGGATATCGTTCGCTTCCCACAAAGTATCGGTCGTTATATTCGAATCCAATGACTTCAGGTTCCTAGCGTACTCATCACTGACCAGCACTACCATCACCTTGACGTATAATATTTTTGTTTAGCTGCTGTTCAGCGTGTTTCAGTAGTGCAGCCTGTCATTCATTTGCGTTCATCACTGATAGCCAGTTTTAGACTCCAGATGATCCTAGATTAAAGAATTTGAAGGTTTAATGTGGCAGTGAGTCCTGTTGCATGCAAGTGTCACATAGCTAACGCAGCCGCACTGATTGAAGCGCATGCCAAAATTTCTGCCGTTAGCTGACGGATGAGAAACATGATTTTCACTTGACTTTGACGCTTTCTGTAATTACGTTTCGTCGAGGCGGTTTGTAATTTACTTCTCAAGTCCACTCATACTGCGTTTACTCTGTCTTTCTTTGATTCCAACATTCATTCAATCTGACGCTAAATCCGAAAATCTTCAATCCCATCTTCTCTCATTTTCCTGGATTTCTCTGTCAAAATACCGTTGTCATTTTATAAAAGCATGAACCTGTACCACTTTCCAATTATTATTATTATTACTATTAATATTTTATATCCTTTGGGCTTCGGTAGCATGTCTACATTTCACTCTCTTCTCTGCAGTCCTTTCAACCAGGCTCCATGACTGCCCATAAGCTCTTATTTCTTCCTCACATGACCTCCTCCACATCACCCTCGGACGCCCGACTTGTCGTTTCCCATCTCTGTTCCATTCGACAGCCTGCCTTAATGCGTGGTGTCCGCAAACCGTCTTCTCAGTGTATGCTCCATCCATATCCACTTTCTCCTGCATATTTGATGGGCGATAGTTTCTTGGTTGGTTCGTTGCAAGCCAGTCGGAGCTCCTTTTTGCTTATCCGTTCTGGCATTCAGATCAGATCTTCAGTATCGAGTGAGTGAGTGAGTGTGAGCGGCAGCTGTTGATGTATGTGCGCAGTTTGCTGGAAATGCTTTTTGTAACGAGCCAAGTCTGTGAAGTATCATTTAGAAGCACTGAATTGATATGAGTGTCGAAAATCCGGATCTCGTTCACGCTTATTGCTGAGTGTAGTAGATCTTCACACTGATTTCAGGTAAATGTAGGTTTGTCTTGCTTTTCCGAGTCTGGCTCTGACACCCTCATGTTAGCCACCTGTAGTTGATAGATACTGTCTAGGTGGGTGAAAGAGATAAACTCATTTAGATTTCTCCCGTTGATGGAGATTGGTGCTTGTTGTTGTTGCTGGTGGTTGGTTGGTTACCTTCGTCGCCTCTTTCTTCTCTGCGTTCACTTGAGCCCTCGTCTTCCCTACTTCTTCTGTCAACGTGTTGGTTTTAGCCTGTAGATCTTTGAGTTTGTGCTACATGACATTAGACAAATCTTCTAGGCTCTTTTTTCTTCGGTCCAGCGTATGCTCATCTTCCCACTCTTCACATTTTGTTGTATGATGCAGTCGAGTCGAGTTGACCACAATCAGGAAGATCATGGGTGATAGTAGGTGGCAGCCTTGTCTTACTCTTGTCTTCACTTCAATGACATCACTGAGCTTCCCATTGTGAGTTACTTGGCATGTGGCGTCTTCATATAGTTGTTGAATGAGGTTGATAAATTTTTGTGGCACTAAAACCAAAGTGTTGAAGCCGCTACCTGCCAAATCACTTGTCGGTCGACGCTGTCGAGTGAAGGTCTTTTCTAAGTCAGTGAAGTTGAGTTGAGTTGACTGCCATTCTATACTCTGTTCTGTGATGATGCATAGTGTGGCGTTGCAATTTGATCCGTACATGATCTCTACTTCCTGAATCCAGCCTGTTCAGGTCGTAATTTTGAATCCAACGCATTGTTTAGACTCTCCAAGATGATGCGGAATAATATATTTTTTTTGGTGTGGATAGCAGCATGATTCCGCGCCAATTCATGTTCTTGCGAAGACTAAGGTCTCCCTTCTTTATGAGTCTGACTAGATAACCCTACTTCCAATCAATCTTCAGGTGCCTTTCCTTCCTTTCAAACCTTCTGCAGTAGTGGTGTGAGCATGTCCGCTGGTGTTTCTGAGTCTGTTCTCAGTGCTTCTGGCGGAATTCCATCAGCAACGTTTACGGCGTTCAGGACTTCACTTCTGCTTTTGTCCGAGGGTTTGTGTTCACTGATAGTGGCTGCTGTAGCTGTGCTGCTGGTGTTGTTTCTGGACGATTTGCTTGTGGTGATCGTGGTGATCGATTCAGGAGCTTTTTGAAGTGGCCAGCCCATTGCTTCCTTTGTTTCTCCTCTTCGCTGTTAACTAAGTTTCCTTCACTATCTTCCATTGGTTTCAAGTGTTTCCATCTCTTCCCCTCCAGACAGTAACCTGGTAACCTGGTCTCCACTCTATTCAGAGTGAGATGAAGTCTATCTGATTTTTACTGTGTTTGATATCTAGTGAAATCAAATCCACGTCGCTCGCTTTGTGAATATCCTTGTGTTTGTACACACTGACTCCAAACACCAAATTGTTGAATTCGCGGAAATCTGCAAACTGTTCTCCATTCTCATTCATTTCACCGAGTATTTCTTGACCCATGATGACTTCTCTTCATGTGTGTTCACTCCCAGTTTGGCATTCATTTCGCCTATTAGAATTTTGATATCGCCAAATGGAATCTTCTCCAGTATTGATTGCAGTACGATTTTCAATAACATTTTAACTTCACTTTGTTGGTTTATATAAGTCTGTTAAGGTGTTGTGTTTTAACAGATTGAATGATAACCATTTGATTTATTTTAAGATTTCGATGCCATGGGTAAGGCTTGTGTACAAGATCCTAGCACATTTACTATTTCCATATTATATACGAGTGACATTATTAGGACTTCTAACTGAAGACGCATTGAAGTCAACAATTCGTGTTCACCAGCTCTTCGTAACTAATCAAGTTTGTGAGTAAGCTCTTGCATACCAAAGAAACGACAAGTACGCGAGTATTAAATGCTGGGTGCTTATTCGGCTCTTATCAAAATCTTCAGAAATACCTCAAATCATGCATAAGACGCTCATATTTCACAGTTCCTGTCGATGGCTTTTATTGGAAAGGGATTCCATGGTATAATGGTGACATGAGGATGCGAACACTGATTTGACTGGCTTATCTGATTACTTATTTGATGTCTTAATGCATATCTCACATCAAAACGAGGAGAGAAGTGGTAAGATAAATGTATGCGTTTTTCGTTTAACCAACTAGAATCACGTCTATTTCGTTAGTCTTCCATACTGATCTTTTGTAGCATCTCTCGATGTGTTGACGTGCCTTCATTCCATCTCTTCTTCACTCCGATTGGTTTCTTTGTAATTTCCAGTGTGTCACAATAATATTACGCTAAACTTCTTCACTTCCCTCCTCTTTGATTGTGAAACTACCTAGTGATAACATGAAGGCACTTATCCTTTTTGTTCAAAAAGATAAAACATATGTTTCGAATGCAGTCAGTTTTCATGATATTTTGGTCAGAATAGACAAGCATTTGGCTATTTGTCTAATAGTCAACTTGAAGATAATCTAGTACGTTAAAGCTGAGTGCACACTGAAGACATTAGGTCACTGGAGGATCTCATGAATTGGAAAGTTTCATGTTCCTTGTCTAAGCGTATGTTCATAAAATGCCAAGTAACCATTTCTACAGAGCTAAGTGGAGTCAAGTAAAAATTTGATTACTATTCAGGTATATCGATTTCAATAGCTGACTGTTGATAAATAAGCCTTTGTTAGTTACTAAATGTATTTTGATTTCTACCACTTGAGTGACTACTGAGGCAATATCAACAGTATAACACGTAACTGTCAGTTATGCACAGCTGAGTCAGTTGTAGTGGTCTGTCAGTACTGAAATTTACCTGTGTACCCAAACAGTGTCTAGGTAAACAGTCAATAATACCAATTCTGGTTATTAATGTGCTAAATTCAAGCCATTCACGTTTCTTAAATGTGAATGTCCAATCATTAATTAAAAACAAATTTAATTTCTGTAAGATACAAATCAAAAGCTGTGTCACGAAATCCCTACCGTTTACGATGGTATAAAAAGGCGAGATCATCAACATCTCCATAAACATGAAGCAGCAAGTACTGTGTATCCTAGCAATTGCCATCGTTGTGGCTATAAATGTAACCACAGCTAAAGGTAATTATTGCCAATCTATTTTATTTGCCTTTGGATCAAACGTATTTTATTATGTTATCTGACGTTGAACAAGAGTTGAGAGATACCTATGAACTAAATATTGTATGCATCATATTTCGCTCTATTTAAAATCCATGCAGTGGTTTCAGCTAACTGGTATATAAATTTGTCAACGATTGCATACGATACATAGAATAGCTGTCAACATACACGTATCGTCTTGTATTAGGTTTCGATTCAACAGGAAATAACCTAGCATACAGCATATATATTGTTCACTAAACACAGCCCACGCATATACAGTTCGATGTCCCTTGCTTATATCATATCTTCTCCAACCTATCCATTATCAACAAACACGATGATAATCGTGTACTATCATTCTATTCCAGATAATAAACAAATCAGAAGAAAAGCCAATAGATCCATTGCGAAATATGAAAGTGAGTTGAAAATGTGGTTTTAGGTTTCGACACCTCATTTATCAGTGTACTGCATCATCATCACTCCTACTCATGACAGACGTGATGCTGACCAAGAGTTGAGAGATGCCCATGAACTTTATAATAGATGCATCATATTTCACTTGATCTAAAATCCATGCATTATGTGGTGATTGAAGTTGAAATGAAAATTTGAACCGCGACCTGAATAGAACCAGCAACCACCGGGTTTCTAGCCTGATCCTCTACCAACTAATCTACAACGTCCGACTGCTGGCCAGATTTTTATTTCACTTCAATCATCAACGGGGATTTGCCCAACTACCATGTGAATTCTTGACGTCTTACTACCGCTTGATCGTGTCCACACTGGCTGCCCAGTCACCACCTCTCATCCAAATAGAGATGTAAATGAATAAGAGAGAGATAGAGAGAGAGGGAGGGAGCATCATAGTGGTCGTCATTCGACTATCTGAGATAGTGGTAGTTCAGCATACTGATTTTATTACACGGGATTAACCTCTGGTCATATTACATCTTCTCCAACCTGTCTCATCATGAACAAACAAGATGATAATTGTGTACTATCATTCTATTCCAGATAATAAACAAATCGGAAGAAAAGCCAATAGATCCATTGCGAAATATGAAAGTGAGTTGAAAATGTGGTTTTAGGTTTCGACATCTCATTTACCAGTGTACTGCATCATCATCACTCCTACTCATGACAGAGGTGATGTTGACCAAGAGTTGAGAGATGCCCATGAACTTTATAATAGATGCATCATATTTCACTTGATCTAAAATCCATGCATTATGTGGTGATTGAAGTTGAAATGAAAATTTGAACCGCGACCTGAATAGAACCAGCAACCACCGGGTTTCTAGCCTGATCCTCTACCAACTAATCTACAACGTCCGACTGCTGGCCAGATTTTTATTTCACTTCAATCATCAACGGGGATTTGCCCAACTACCATGTGAATTCTTGACGTCTTACTACCGCTTGATCGTGTCCACACTGGCTGCCCAGTCACCACCTCTCATCCAAATAGAGATGTAAATGAATAAGAGAGAGATAGAGAGAGAGGGAGGGAGCATCATAGTGGTCGTCATTCGACTATCTGAGATAGTGGTAGTTCTGCATACTGATTTTATTACACGGGATTAACCTCTGGTCATATTACATCTTCTCCAACCTGTCTCATCATGAACAAACAAGATGATAATTGTGTACTATCATTCTATTCCAGATAATAAACAAATCGGAAGAAAAGCCAATAGATCCATTGCGAAATATGAAAGTGAGTTGAAAATGTGGTTTTAGGTTTCGACATCTCATTTACCAGTGTACTGCATCATCATCACTCCTACTCATGACAGAGGTGATGTTGACCAAGAGTTGAGAGATGCCCATGAACTTTATAATAGATGCATCATATTTCACTTGATCTAAAATCCATGCATTATGTGGTGATTGAAGTTGAAATGAAAATTTGAACCGCGACCTGAATAGAACCAGCAACCACCGGGTTTCTAGCCTGATCCTCTACCAACTAATCTACAACGTCCGACTGCTGGCCAGATTTTTATTTCACTTCAATCATCAACGGGGATTTGCCCAACTACCATGTGAATTCTTGACGTCTTACTACCGCTTGATCGTGTCCACACTGGCTGCCCAGTCACCACCTCTCATCCAAATAGAGATGTAAATGAATAAGAGAGAGATAGAGAGAGAGGGAGGGAGCATCATAGTGGTCGTCATTCGACTATCTGAGATAGTGGTAGTTCAGCATACTGATTTTATTACACGGGATTAACCTCTGGTCATATTACATCTTCTCCAACCTGTCTCATCATGAACAAACAAGATGATAATTGTGTACTATCATTCTATTCCAGATAATAAACAAATCGGAAGAAAAGCCAATAGATCCATTGCGAAATATGAAAGTGAGTTGAAAATGTGGTTTTAGGTTTCGACATCTCATTTACCAGTGTACTGCATCATCATCACTCCTACTCATGACAGAGGTGATGTTGACCAAGAGTTGAGAGATGCCCATGAACTTTATAATAGATGCATCATATTTCACTTGATCTAAAATCCATGCATTATGTGGTGATTGAAGTTGAAATGAAAATTTGAACCGCGACCTGAATAGAACCAGCAACCACCGGGTTTCTAGCCTGATCCTCTACCAACTAATCTACAACGTCCGACTGCTGGCCAGATTTTTATTTCACTTCAATCATCAACGGGGATTTGCCCAACTACCATGTGAATTCTTGACGTCTTACTACCGCTTGATCGTGTCCACACTGGCTGCCCAGTCACCACCTCTCATCCAAATAGAGATGTAAATGAATAAGAGAGAGATAGAGAGAGAGGGAGGGAGCATCATAGTGGTCGTCATTCGACTATCTGAGATAGTGGTAGTTCTGCATACTGATTTTATTACACGGGATTAACCTCTGGTCATATTACATCTTCTCCAACCTGTCTCATCATGAACAAACAAGATGATAATTGTGTACTATCATTCTATTCCAGATAATAAACAAATCGGAAGAAAAGCCAATAGATCCATTGCGAAATATGAAAGTGAGTTGAAAATGTGGTTTTAGGTTTCGACATCTCATTTACCAGTGTACTGCATCATCATCACTCCTACTCATGACAGAGGTGATGTTGACCAAGAGTTGAGAGATGCCCATGAACTTTATAATAGATGCATCATATTTCACTTGATCTAAAATCCATGCATTATGTGGTGATTGAAGTTGAAATGAAAATTTGAACCGCGACCTGAATAGAACCAGCAACCACCGGGTTTCTAGCCTGATCCTCTACCAACTAATCTACAACGTCCGACTGCTGGCCAGATTTTTATTTCACTTCAATCATCAACGGGGATTTGCCCAACTACCATGTGAATTCTTGACGTCTTACTACCGCTTGATCGTGTCCACACTGGCTGCCCAGTCACCACCTCTCATCCAAATAGAGATGTAAATGAATAAGAGAGAGATAGAGAGAGAGGGAGGGAGCATCATAGTGGTCGTCATTCGACTATCTGAGATAGTGGTAGTTCAGCATACTGATTTTATTACACGGGATTAACCTCTGGTCATATTACATCTTCTCCAACCTGTCTCATCATGAACAAACAAGATGATAATTGTGTACTATCATTCTATTCCAGATAATAAACAAATCGGAAGAAAAGCCAATAGATCCATTGCGAAATATGAAAGTGAGTTGAAAATGTGGTTTTAGGTTTCGACATCTCATTTACCAGTGTACTGCATCATCATCACTCCTACTCATGACAGAGGTGATGTTGACCAAGAGTTGAGAGATGCCCATGAACTTTATAATAGATGCATCATATTTCACTTGATCTAAAATCCATGCATTATGTGGTGATTGAAGTTGAAATGAAAATTTGAACCGCGACCTGAATAGAACCAGCAACCACCGGGTTTCTAGCCTGATCCTCTACCAACTAATCTACAACGTCCGACTGCTGGCCAGATTTTTATTTCACTTCAATCATCAACGGGGATTTGCCCAACTACCATGTGAATTCTTGACGTCTTACTACCGCTTGATCGTGTCCACACTGGCTGCCCAGTCACCACCTCTCATCCAAATAGAGATGTAAATGAATAAGAGAGAGATAGAGAGAGAGGGAGGGAGCATCATAGTGGTCGTCATTCGACTATCTGAGATAGTGGTAGTTCAGCATACTGATTTTATTACACGGGATTAACCTCTGGTCATATTACATCTTCTCCAACCTGTCTCATCATGAACAAACAAGATGATAATTGTGTACTATCATTCTATTCCAGATAATAAACAAATCGGAAGAAAAGCCAATAGATCCATTGCGAAATATGAAAGTGAGTTGAAAATGTGGTTTTAGGTTTCGACATCTCATTTACCAGTGTACTGCATCATCATCACTCCTACTCATGACAGAGGTGATGTTGACCAAGAGTTGAGAGATGCCCATGAACTTTATAATAGATGCATCATATTTCACTTGATCTAAAATCCATGCATTATGTGGTGATTGAAGTTGAAATGAAAATTTGAACCGCGACCTGAATAGAACCAGCAACCACCGGGTTTCTAGCCTGATCCTCTACCAACTAATCTACAACGTCCGACTGCTGGCCAGATTTTTATTTCACTTCAATCATCAACGGGGATTTGCCCAACTACCATGTGAATTCTTGACGTCTTACTACCGCTTGATCGTGTCCACACTGGCTGCCCAGTCACCACCTCTCATCCAAATAGAGATGTAAATGAATAAGAGAGAGATAGAGAGAGAGGGAGGGAGCATCATAGTGGTCGTCATTCGACTATCTGAGATAGTGGTAGTTCAGCATACTGATTTTATTACACGGGATTAACCTCTGGTCATATTACATCTTCTCCAACCTGTCTCATCATGAACAAACAAGATGATAATTGTGTACTATCATTCTATTCCAGATAATAAACAAATCGGAAGAAAAGCCAATAGATCCATTGCGAAATATGAAAGTGAGTTGAAAATGTGGTTTTAGGTTTCGACATCTCATTTACCAGTGTACTGCATCATCATCACTCCTACTCATGACAGAGGTGATGTTGACCAAGAGTTGAGAGATGCCCATGAACTTTATAATAGATGCATCATATTTCACTTGATCTAAAATCCATGCATTATGTGGTGATTGAAGTTGAAATGAAAATTTGAACCGCGACCTGAATAGAACCAGCAACCACCGGGTTTCTAGCCTGATCCTCTACCAACTAATCTACAACGTCCGACTGCTGGCCAGATTTTATTTCACTTCAATCATCAACGGGGATTTGCCCAACTACCATGTGAATTCTTGACGTCTTACTACCGCTTGATCGTGTCCACACTGGCTGCCCAGTCACCACCTCTCATCCAAATAGAGATGTAAATGAATAAGAGAGAGATAGAGAGAGAGGGAGGGAGCATCATAGTGGTCGTCATTCGACTATCTGAGATAGTGGTAGTTCAGCATACTGATTTTATTACACGGGATTAACCTCTGGTCATATTACATCTTCTCCAACCTGTCTCATCATGAACAAACAAGATGATAATTGTGTACTATCATTCTATTCCAGATAATAAACAAATCGGAAGAAAAGCCAATAGATCCATTGCGAAATATGAAAGTGAGTTGAAAATGTGGTTTTAGGTTTCGACATCTCATTTACCAGTGTACTGCATCATCATCACTCCTACTCATGACAGTCTTGCATTGAAGGTATGTGCCTTTTTGGCATTTTAACCATCTGTGAAGCGCAATGCTTTTTATCTCCAGCTGTTTTTTCAACGTGATATATAGCATATAAAAGGGAATGATATATGCGTTATTACTATTTTTCAGATTTGACTCATCATCAAGGGGATATTATGAATAAATATCTGGCCAAATTAAATGATTATCTTAGTAAGTTGTTTTGTTGTTACTTGTTGTTTTCGTAAATCGAATTTCGCCCCAGGCAACGTGATGTCAATTTGCCTGCTTTGATGTTCTCTTATGTCATATTGAGAAATATGATTTGTGACATTTGTTAGCAGAAATCTGACTCCTTCGCGCTTCCATCGGTCAGCTGCTTTGATTTTGTTTGTATTCATTAGTAGTGACAAATATCCAACTGTCAATGACTGGTACTCAAGTGACATGTAGCCGAAAACGATGTCTATCTAAAACTACACAATTAGAATAACCCTCATTCATCTGCTTCTTTCTAATCACTCGTTTATTGTTCGTGTATCTCAAATTACATTGCCACGCGAAATTCGAAACCGTCTATGTATTGCTGCACATATTGAATGGAATGATAACGATATGCTTTGGGGATTGTAGGTGAAATGGTGCAAAAATATGGCATTGAAAGAAACAATTTTCAATTCGGTAAGTTGTCAGTTATTCTTCAAATCAAAACTCGACGTTTACAGACCCATCATGTTCGTTGTCGAACTATCATGAACCTCACCGTATGGCTACCACTTACAAAGGTTGGTGAATTGGTGAATTTTGCTAAATATCACGATTACTTTTCCAATCTATTGCTTTATATAAGCCTTAGGATGAGCAGAGACGCTGATATCGACTGTGATGCATTATTTCACTTTATCACGTGTAGTTGAATTTCGAAACATATATTTGGACAGTAAACATTTGCTAACATGTATAACGAGCTACTGAACAAATAACCTCAGACTGCGTCTTGTACGTTGTCACGTTCCTGACGGGACGTTCACAAGACAGTCATTTGACTGGATGATAAATCTTCCTAATTGAAGTATTTAGGAAACATCTTCAACACTTGTCACCCATAGTGAACGTGGTGACAACTTTCAGCATCCGATTTAGTCGGTTGAAAGTATCAAGAGATGAACATAACTAAACAACATGCACGATGTGTCCTTGTATAAGGAGAAATTAAGAATGTGAAAGGTGGACTTAGCTAGTGCCAGAAGAACGCATTTCTCGATGAGAAAACTTCATTTGAATAAATTATGCAGATTAAACTGTGAATAAATTGTAGTAAGATAAAACTCCAGTACCTTTTCATTTCTCTTTGTAGCTCATTATTAACAATGTTTTGAACAGGCTAAAGTGTGGAAACATGAATCATACGATAACTTCATCCTGATACCTAATTTCTCACTACCATCATCTTTTTCTTTTGTTTCGAAAACGCATGTACTCGAATCTTCTCCAGAACTTGTGGAAGAACTGACGAAAATGAAAGAGGAATATGGTATGCACTCGGATATGCGTCTTCTTTGAAGTGAATCTACAATTTTTTTAGCAATCATATATGCCGTGACCTACTTCTTCATCATCTGCAGCATACATTAGTCTACATATTGACAACTTGTTTTGTTGCCCTTTAACAGCAACTAATGTTGCTGTCCTACGCTATATACAGAAGATGTTTTGTTATATTATCGATACAGTATATTTATTTGATATTCAATAGGCAATCTTTTCAACCCAAATAATGAAGATCTTACTAACTATAGAAAAACCTATGAAGGGATTAAAGGTAACAACCGTTGGTGACATTACTCATACCATTCATTTCATTCGTTTTCCCTAAATCCTCGACGATTACCTGCTTTCATTGAACGCCATTTTATCACATAGCCAAACAATTGCAGAACTGATGACGATGTATATATGTTTCATATTTAAAAGTAACTTGAAGCATACCAGTCAATTTGTCATCTGGTATTCGAAGTACTAAACAAAATGTTTGTTGCTTCATTCACTGTGAACAAAATAACACATACAAGTCTATTTCATATTCTCCATCTAGTGCAGTTGTAAACATTTTTTCTTCTAACCCGACAGGAAAAGATTTGATCCACCCCTACGAAAATTGCTACAGTGATATGTTTTCAAGACACCCAATCGGTAAGTGAATGCAAGAAGTACACCTTTTACATTAACATATTTTACATGTTAGGATGTGCTGCCACGTTGCTTTTAAGAAACGTATTCGTTGATAAGACGGTGCTGTGTTCACTGAATGTATATTTCTGCCATTTGATCATTCTAGACCATTGATGATATTCCATTCAGAGAAGAGTGAGATTCGTCAGAATCTTTTTGTAATAGCTGTGATGTTTGTGTTTAAGCACAAGGTGTACTTGGCACGATAGCAATAGCATGATTTACGTCACTATGCTTGTGAAGCTTTCCGTATCTGTTTAGGCCGCTGATCACGTATCCAATGATGCATGGTGTAATTGCCTACAGATTTACTGCCTTCTGGATATCAACTCAATGAAGTTTGTTTACGCAAGCCATTCATGACCCACTGAAACTCAAACCTCCATTGAAGGTTTCCTCATCTTTCTGATTAAGTCAAGGGATTGATGGTATTCATCGCAACAGTGAAATTGGGAGATTCAAATATCCAGTCAATTTTTTCATGGAGTGATAAACAAACCCACACCGCCACCACCACCACCATCACCCACCAAACTCACTTAATTGACCATTGTGAAGGTCCTTAGTTCGTCGAACTCCATTCTGTTGACAATGTTCGCACAATTATCTACTGAATTTTAGCTAGTCACTTGGTAGAGTGACAAAAACAGTAACATCCTCGGACGGATATGGCAAAAAATAAGACGTATACAATCTATTCTTGTTGAAGTGCTAGTCATACTACTATAGTGGGAATTTCGATAGCTAGCATTATCATTGCCATAAAACGATAGTTTTGCGACACATTGTTGACAACTTCAAGCTGATGCTAAGGAATATAATGCAACAAAAGTCTTCATCCTATAGCTTGCGACCATTGAATACTTCAGTTCTTCTCATAATTTGTGTGTTTTGTCTTTCTGTTACACTGCAACTTCATTTTGCTTTACGCAGACGTCAAGCACCTGATAGACTTGATGAAAGCTGCAGATGATGCATCCTGGCTCTTTTTTAAATATGATGGTGAGTGTTTTGATATTTAAAACCGCATTATTGAAGTACGACTTTTGTAAACAGACCACAGCTACAGATTCATGACACTGAGCTGAAAGCTAAAAAAGGTTTGTGTTACTTTTCGACATCAATTGGGCAGAGATGAGTTCTCCCCCTTCTTCAAGCTCTATCAATTTTGTTAACTTCAGGTTAGTTATGAACATGAACTGACACCAGCTAGATAGATGCAGGAAACCTAGGAGTACTGAACATCTGTATGGTCCTAGTGTGAGACTCCTCAGTAGTGCGTAGCCATGACCCACCAGGGATCGAATCCATGAACTTCAGTTCACATGGCTAACGTGTTAATTTTAAGCCACAGCGTCGGAATTCAGTACTCCACATTCCCCACTTCTGTCAGTTCACGATGTAGTGCAACCTGTATCCAATGTTGTCGTTGAGTACTTATCCTCATCTTCGACTTGATTGACACCACCGGTTGTGACTTCTCATTGGAACTTTGGAAATCTGTATCCGAGATGAATCATCAGTGAGCAGCATTTTTACTTGGATATTTGAGGTATCACCTGACACAAGTAACCTGTTGATCAGCGTTTATCAGTCAACAATATTCATTTATGCTATTGTTCAAATTTCAGCCATTCTAAGGGCGTACAAAAATTTGAGCCTTCCTTTCTAAAAGTGAGTAACTGTCATGTGTGAATTACATGTTAACATTTATAGTATGATTTCTGAATAACGCTTCCAAATCAATCAACTCAATGTCCGTCTATGTGTATATTTGCAGAGCATAATCTGACAACCACAATCTCAGTGCTCATTTTAACCAGTGCAAATGTGAAGCTGAGACAAAGGCAAACTAGTCATTCACTGACCTCCGTTCAGCGAACACATGAAGTAATATGCATTGTCAGATTTCAACTGACAAGCTATTTGTACGCTGAAATTGACCCACTGAGGTGCTTTCTGAACAAGATGAGACAGAAATGTTGAGTCAAACATTTTACAATGCATGATCATGCATAATACTTCTTTATTCGACAACATTTTGCAAATTTGTACAATGAAAATGAACTGAGAGAACATAACTATACTCCAGTATCCAGATTTGATCTGATGGAGTTGAGTAAGTTGAACATTCGGTCGCCAAACGTCAGAAACTTACTTATCTATATCAGTAGGATTCTACAAATATACCTCATCTAGAATTCAGCAGACGCTTTTAATCATCGTCGAGCTTTGTTTTCAAATGGATTTTAACATACTCTTTGAGGGAAGCCATATCTACATTCCGGATGTAGGCAGTCATGATAACACTAATCATTTAAATAAAGTAATACTAACTATTGTGCTCTGATTGCAAAGCTACTCAACTGTTATGAGAATGAGATGTCAGTGAATTATTCGTGTTGTGTACGCATAAATTGAAAACTATTTTAATGAGATTGATGCAGAATAACTCCGTATTCTTTTCTTTTGCACAATTGCATGCTGAACAAAATAAGCAAATATAGGTGGCACATGTATTATGGTTCTCAGGCATAGATCAAGCCGAAGAAGCAAACATATTTTACTGTGAAATATGAACAATGTTCTTTCAATATATGTATCAATAACAGTTCAATCATTATGAAAAGGAATTGTGTATCATAAGTAAATTTTCAGTGAAACCTTCATACAAAATGACACAAAAATTTTAGATAGATTTTTGTGTAAAACTGTCAAACTATGAAATTGTCAGAGTTCATACTGAAATCTAGTGTTTCCATCAATGTAGTTCAAGTTGAAAAGTGATTATGTGAAGTTCATCTGCAATAGAGAATTTCAAAGTTAACTATAATATTCTATTCAAAGCGTCATAGTGACAGAATAACTTCTGTTATATTCCATTTTGTGTTATTCGTCATTATTAAAATGACAAACTTGTCGTTGTTGGAGTATTGAAATGTTGAATATTTTTCAGGAGGATGTGTATCTGGTATTTGGCACCCTGGTGTTCATTTCACTATGAGGAAAACGTTTATTAATGAACTAATTATTTGCAATATTTATAACATAAAATTTAAAACATGTCTAATTCTTTACCTCTGAATATACGATATAACACAATCTTCGTTTTATAAAAATGTAAATAAGTAGATGAGTAGAAGATAATTCTACGATTTTGTATAGAAGCGATCACGTGGTGGAAGAAGAAAGAAAACAGGTGGGAGTTATTATAACAAATCTTGTCAAGCATCTCGCCTCCTTAATAACAGTTCACAGTTACTCACAATACAAGGAAAGTTGGAGGATAGTAGTTTCATGATCTCATACGATTATCAAGTGCTTTCTTCACCATTGTACCTTGATACAGCTCGTTTGCAATACCAATGCTGACACTTACTTAACATTTCTTTCCCCATCCTCTCGAGCAATATTGATATTTTCGAAAATGACTTCAGTATAGCAAGGAATTTCAGTTTTCAGACATACAGTAAATCATCATTTATTCACTGCTAGTTCACTCTAGGTGCTGCAGACTGGGGCCATCGGTGTAAGCCAAGCCAACCGCTTTCATATGAGTATTCCTTCTCAGCTGGAACTGTGAATCAGTTACTATCAGATCCATGATTCTCAATAATTTAATTTCATTATCTTCTAATTCCGTCCATTATTGTCCGATAGTCTGTATGTGGTTTACACTGGTTTCTTGCAATTGTTGTGTTTGGCGCTTACACAGAATGATTGTTGTTTCGTCTGCTGGTGTACTCCAATCAGCCAGTTTCAGATTGATAAATCGACTGCCTCACATGGTTATATTCCACTTGTTAGCATCACTTCAACTATCGAATCGCACCAGTCAAGCATGATAAAGCTCATCTGGGACATTACTCGTGCTGAATTTTTCATAACTAATTCTCTATTGGGGTAAGGAAATAATTTCATCGTCTAGTTGAGACACGGTGAAAATTATGAGATAAATTCAAAAATCGTCCTACCAAATGTGAATTGAGAAACAACAAGCAGGACAAAAACGGCTATTCAGTGCTCTCAGGTTTCCAATGTTTCTCCAGCTGATGTTAGTCTATGTGAAATTCTAACCTGAATTGGAAAGGATTTTGATTTTTAATCCGTAGATGTTCTCCTTTTCAAACTTACTTAGTGGATAGTGGTGTTTAGGTTATAGATTTCCGTTTATAACAGTTATCTGATCGCAAAAGAGATACTATTATTGAGCTGTATTTTCCAGAGGAGCAGTTTAGCTTTGGAACAAAAATCAGAAATGCATAACGGACAGTAATGAGCATAGCAATGGAAACATAGTTAGAGATTAAAGTGTCGAAGAATAAGAATCAACATTAAAGTGAGGAGACAAAATTTACTCAAATTGGACTTTAAGCATGCTAATCAAGAGGAAAACGGAAAACTCAATAGCCAGTCTAATTGACATTCTTTCTGTCGCGATGAAAGACATGAATTTCATTCATATCAGAGAGGAAGAGAAAAACCCATCTAATCAGTGTTCGCTATCTCTTCAGACCAACATACCATGGAATCCTGTTCCACTCACAGTCGTCCACATACACTGTGAAATCTCCCTTTCACATTCATACTTTCATGCATAACAGTTTGCAAGATGATATCTACTGATGAAATTCTCAGAAATGAAACTTAGTTTTGTAGTGTTGAACAAAACATTGTATCATGAATGTCCTGAGTTTTGTTATTTTTACAACAAAATGCCTGGAGAACGCACATGAGTACACAATATTTCAGGTCACTAACATAGAAAAAGAAATGTGAGAGAAAATCAAATGTAACCTGTCCGTAAAAATGTACTTATAAGTTGAGAGGAGAATCAACGAAATGAAGAAAGAACTGATTGTAGAACTACAGATAACCATACTGATCTATGTGCATGTTAAATGGACTCAGGTTAGCTGAAAGATGAGAAATGTGATACTCTGTTGACTAAGACACCTTCGATTTTTCATTTTATCGAGGTAATACAGAGTGTGATGGTCCAATCCATTGAACATTCAAGTTGAGTTCACTGTGTGTTTTATTCATTCACCTCTCCACTCAATCCGACCATGAATACAAACAGGCTACAATTGATTTTCTCTCACATTTCTTTTTCTATGTTAGTGACCTGAAATATTGTGTACTCATGTACGTTCTCTAGGCATTTTGTTGTAAAAATAACAAAACTCAGGCCATTCATGATACAATGTTTTGTTCAACACTACAAAACTAAGTTTCATTTCTGAGAATTTCATCAGTAGATATCATCTTGCAAACTGTTATGCATGAAAGTATGAATGTGAAAGGGAGATTTCACAGTGTATGTGGACGACTGTGAGTGGAACAGGATTCCATGGTATGTTGGTCTGAAGAGATAGCGAACACTGATTAGACAGGTTTGTGTTTTTTTCTCTTATGTTCATTTATTTGCTTCATTCCATCATGCCAGTGGTTAACGAGACTATACAGACTCATCCGTTTTGTGTTATGCTGGTGTGGTATTGTCCATTTCCCTCACTTAACATGCTTTTCTTTTGTTGATTCGACCAATTCGTTGAAATCAATTTTGAGAAAATATTCATCTTTTTCTTATTCTGAATCTGAAGGCCAACCTGTATTATTTTTCTAGACGCCTTCGTAGGACTGAGTTAAGGATTTCTCAAACCCAGTAAGAAGTACCAGCAGTTGTTTCAGATGTAAGGCGTCCCTCCAAGTATCTATTTGAAATGCAGATAAACACTACCCTAATCATCAAGTCATGAAATTCATTCGCCATCCGCATGAATCTATGAATAGGTCATCTGTTGCTCTGGTTCAGAGATGGAATTTGAACTCCAGTATTTATGACTATGCAAGTGAATACAGATAGGCCAAAAGCGCACCTCGTGCAGATTTCCTGCCACTTTCTTCATCATCATACAGCTGCCCTACAGATTCTGATCGCTTACAAGTTTCGCCATTACCTGTTGACAAAATACCGTCTACAAAATATACTCGTAAGCACACTGAAAGCACCATAAATTCAGTGTAGATGCGTTGGAATTCACGATGCAAGAAGGTTTTCGTGAGTTCGTATAAGGAAGAGATAAAATTCACTACATTGTGGAGGATTTCGATGTTTGAGCGACACTATCGTTACCCCTACAACATTGAAATCTGCTCTATTAGATGATTTTAATTGTGCAGACCTGAGAAACGGGATGATGAAATCGTTCGCATGCCTAATATACTACTGATGAGAAATTGATGATGATGCTGCGAGAATGTTGGAGTGTTGTTCTGATTGTCTGAGTAAGTTATTCTAATGGAAATCATTACTGAATCGATGAACTGCTTTTTGTGTGCCACATCGTTGCCTGCATATTGATTATTGTGGTGCATTCCTGATCTCATTTTGTGTTTAAACCACCTTGTGTTAGCCTATGTTAGGTGGCCAGGTGTAATGTCTACACACCATCCTAATGCAAAATTCACACAGAGCCATGTGGGAAGGTTTTCGCTCAGATCGAGCTCCTAGTGTCTACATCACTGATAATACGATTCATTTCAGTAATTATCTTGAAAGCATTGATTGCTGTTATCTGTGTACAGCTCCATGTCATATTCGGTCGAGCGTGTTGGCAGAAAGTTCGAGTGGACATTGATATGGAATATAACATCTATGAACGCAGGTAATTTAGAAGAGCTGATGACTTTAGCTTCCTGTATTGCAATGCCTAACACACAGCTATTCATGAAAATTCAGCTAAACTCTTCAATTCGCAAATTCGCCGAGCGGATACAATGAATGTAGCTTCCTCGGATCGACCCTGTAGTCGAGGAAATGCTTGTCGTTCTTCAATGGGATGGTGAAGATTTTGGACTCATGAGATCATTCTGTTTACAGCAGATACATTGAACAGATGAAAATTATTCAAGTAGATCTTCCCAATCATAATTCTAATGGTCCACCTACTATTCCTCATTTTGCATACCAACACCCTTACTCCCACCTTATACGAAACCACAACTACAGTAACCTATTTAAGATTTCTAGACCGTCATTATAGTGGCGAACAATTTAGAAGATGGATTAAACTAGTGAGTGACTCTAAAAGCAAGGTATCCGCAACAATGCTATGCAACAGATTTATCTGGTAATTTATCTCATTAGACTCCATGTAACCAAAGACAATTGGCAGTCAATATACCTCCTTGATAATGCTGCATACTCGAATGTGAACTCCATGTAAATATCCATCTCCATTGGATGACAGTTCTTCTAACATTTATTCCTTTGTAGCACAAAAAACCATTTCTGATAGGATTAAAGTATATTGCCACTTATGATGAAACGGCTAGTGGGAAATGCTTGAACTCAGATATTCTCCTGAATTGCAAGATCTTGTGGACACTCACTGATTCCTGAAATCGTTGCCACTTATGAATGAGAAAAAGATAACTGGATATAATCGACACTCAAATACAGTGTATGTACTGAAAAGTGATATATTATCTTATTCTTCTCATAACCCGTGGACGCTTATGATATTGTGGACTGTTTTGAAAACTGAGAGATTCTGAAAGCATAATGCAAATTTAACGTTCGAAAGTATTGATCATTGCAAATGTAGATTTGTATAAATTCATCCATTTGCGTTGTACTCAACACAATAAATAATGGACGAGATAAAAGGTATAACTGCTAACAATGATAAAATTATTGTAACTGGTAAACGCATAGCTGTGTTATATGTATACCTTTAGCATACTTAAATCTTTCCACTACAAATAATCATTGAATCCAACCTTCCATATATATTTCACTCTAAGTATTTCGATTACCTAAAATACCAGTTTCGTTCAGTTCACTGAGTTTATTACGGTGCGAAGTGCTGACTGATACGTTTGCATAATGCACTGACATCAATCTTGTCAAGATTACATATAAAAAGTATATTCAATGTGCATTCACACGGACAGGTTGCTAACAGAGTTTAGTGCCATCATAGAAATGATGATATATAATTTTCTCTTGAGCTTAACAGGTCAGCAACTCGGTTCCTTGTCGATCGTCA